CCACTTGTCGCAGAGGCCCTCCACCAGCGAGTAGGTGTCTGAGATGTGGCTGGTGCCTCAGCCCGGCCCCGACTGTTCCAGCCTCCCCGTCCTGGGGGAGGAGGAGGAGGGAGGGAAGAGGAGTGGGAGGGGGTATCGAGGTGACCCCGAAGCCTCTGGGAACCTCCCAGAGCATTCGAGCAGCCCCCGGAGGGTACATCCAGAGGTCTCTGGGGGAGGCGGAGTGGGGCTTCGCGGGCGTCTCTTCGGATTTCTGTGATGGGGCTCCCTCTCCTCGTACTCCTGTTCCTCCTCAGCCCTTGGCGGACACATGTTCTTCGAGTGCACGCGCAGTGTGCGCGCTCGATCGCCCGATCATCCCCCCCTCCCCTGCGAACTGCCTGCAGGATGAATCCCAGCAGCCCACTGGGCGTGAGTGGGTTTGGGCAGTGTCCTCTTCCAGCCCCCCTTCTTCCCTTCGGGGAGGGGCTTATCACTATTACCTATCAGTAAACACACCCTCCCCCAGGCTGGCAGCCAACCAGGACCAACGAGAACCCCCCCCGCCATCCCTCTCAAAAAAATAATGCGCAGCACACTTTGGGGCAAAATCTTGGGTCAAGCTCGTGGGCCCCGCGAGCACTTTGCATTGTTTTTTACCTGTGAGGCGGGGTTGCCCTCATACACAGCCGTGACAAAAGTTTCTTATAATTTGCAATGATGATGATATCTCCTACCCCTCTCAAGATTCCTAGGATGACATGACTGCTTCATTCGGCGGAGTAGTTTCCGATCCGTCTAACGTCCAGAATTCTCTTGCCCCAAAACCGGATCGGAAACTACGCCGCGCCAAACCTTATGAAATAATTGAGCGGGATGCGCCCACACGCGGAGTAGTTGGAGCATTTCTACTCCGAACCACTCCGCACTGATGCGATATGGGCGAAGGCAGATATAAGAAGAAACTTTCGTCACGGTGACGTATTGCCTGCTTTGTGCAAATCTGCCATCCGTCAAACAGCAATACAACGTGCACTTCGCGGCTAAATCTGGATCATGCGCGGCTAGTTGACGATCACTGTCCATTGGTGGTTGGCAGGGACCGCGGGGGTGGTGGCATGGTGCCTGCTGTGCGCAGGCCCACCAGACACCATGATGGCCTCCCCGCCGCGATTGCGCACTGGTTTTCGACAAGGATGGTTGGGCCCGACATGTTTCCCGATGTGCTGTCCCGTGCGCGGGCGCACTTGGCACGCTCTGCGCGTGCCCCGGACGTGGCGCAGCTGGCGTGGCTGGACAATGCGGCAAACATGGCGCACGTGGAGCACGTGGCGCATTTGGCGCGCGAAGCGTGCCGGGCACTCTTGGGCCCCAGGGGTGCCTGGCGCACCTGGAGCGCTCGCACGCGTGGCGCACCTCGCCCCATCTCGCACATGTGGTCTGTACTGGTTCCCAGTAGCTGCCAACCCATAGTCGGCCGCTGAACATGCTGAGGCCCAGGTGCTCCTTGTGTGTTGGGAGGGCGGGTGGGAGGCAGCGAGAAAGCTTGCGGGCGGGGAGGGTGTCTTGCTTGACCCCTCCCCCTCCCCCCTCCCCCTTGGTCTGGAGGGGGGGGGCGGCGGGTCGTTGGAGCGTCCAAGATGGCCTCGCCGCGGAAGGCCAAATCAGTGACTTTACAAAAATGTGTTGGCCACATTCTGGCCGCCTGGGGGGGGGGGAACCTGTTGGGAGAGCTCTCCTCCTTTGATCGATTTCCTCCAAGACGGCCCAAAAATGGCTCCCAAGGCTCACGAGGGTGCCCCAAGATAGCCCCAAGAGGTGCCCAGGAGGCCCAAAGATTCCCCAAGAGGCTCCCAAGATGCCCCTAAGAGGCTCCCAAGAGAGTCAACAAATATTCCCAGAGGCCCCCCAGAGGCACCCAAGACGCCCCGAGAGGCCTCGGCGAGAAGGCCAATGTCAGTAATATTACGAAGGTTTTGGCTACATGTTGGCCTCCAGGGGGGGTGACCCTGATGAAGGAGACCCCCTCCTTCGATCGATCTCCTCCAAGGTGGCCCCAAGATGGCCCCCGAGACTCCCAAGGGTGCCCCAAGAAGGCCGAAAGAGGCGGCCTGGCGGCCAGGCCCCCAAAGGCCCCCAAGAGGCCCCCAAGAGGCTCCCAAGAGACCCGCACGAGGCCCCAAGAGGCCTCCCAGATGCACCCAAGAGGCCTCGGCGAGAAAGCACAAATCAGCGATGTTACTAACAAGTCTTGGCCATATGCTGGCCTCGTGGGGGGGGGGGGGCCTGGGTGAGGAGCCCCTTCCTTTGATCGATCACTCCCAAGGTGGCCCGAAAATGGCCCCCGAGGCTCCCGAGGGTGCCCCACGACGGCTCCAAGGGGTGCCCATGAGGCCCCAAGATGCCCCCACGATGCCGCCAAGATGCCCCCAAGAAGCCCCCAAGAGACCCCCAAGAGGCACCCCAGGGACACCCAAGACGCCCAAGAGGCGTCCGGGACTGTCCAGAGACCCCAAGACGC